CCTCACAAAAAATTTAGATACCTTACCAGGCATTTGTTCAAGATAACAGAAGATGGTGTTTCTACATAATCCTATTGAAAATCTCTTGAATAGTCAATATCACAATTTTTGCTGTATTTATTTTTTAAGACATTTTGAAAACAGTTTAAAAATCACAAGATAATGATAATTATGAATATTTTTCTATATATTATGAAGAGATACAGAACAGATATTCAAGGAACGTGTAGTCTGACCTTAATATTTTTTACTTTTCTTCTGTTTCCATGGCAACGATTACCAAATTAAAAATTTTAAATGCCATCTGCACAACTACATGTACAATTACTGATTATCATTTCTATGAAGAATCATTACGATTGTCCAAGGGACCAGTGAGAACACTCCCGGACAAAATTCTTCATTTTTCGTACGTTTCCATGGCAACGGTAGCCATGTTGAAACTGAAAGTGTTCACTGCACAACTACAGCTGGTCATTATCTTTTATGGAAAACTTCAGCAAGATTGTCCCAGCCATCTGCGAGAAAATCCGGGACAAGGTTATTGGGCGTACAATAGCAAAATGTCCCCCCGATTCTTTCGGGGTGACATAAATAATAAGAAACAGAGTAAAAACAAAATATGTTCCCAAACTTCGTTTGGAGAACATAATGATAATAAGATACAGAGTAAAAACAAGATGTTTCCAAACTCCGTTTGGGGAACATAATAATGTTCTTGCAAGATAAAGGAGAAATATGCAGCTGGCATGCCAGCATTTAAAGGAAAAAATACTCCCTCAACATTCCAAATGTAAAATTTCGACACGGTGTGATAAGTTGTTTTAAACTGGAGTGTCATTTCTGTTGCATAATAAAAAAAAATATGAAGACCCATGTCAATAATTTTAAGTGATCAAAGGCAGTTGTATGGCTGGCAAGAAAACTGTTTATGATTGAGTGCCACATAATGAGCATATAACACCTTACATTTGTTGAACTTATCATAAAGCTTATGATGCATTTAACTTTACATTATACTGGGTTAACTTTATTAAGATCATTTTAAACGTGTCTCCTTAAGATTTCCATCTGACTGCACATTTAAATAGGTAGAATTAAGAAATGAATCTTTAAATTTTTCTTTGATGGAGGTATCAAAGAAACTTGGACGGAAAACTTTATCAATGCTCTCAGCGCATTGATGAAAAAGTTTTCCGTCCAAGTTTTCTTTGATACTTTCATCAAAGAAAAAATTATAAGATTTATTTCTTACTATTAAATATTTATCTTTCAAATTCACTGATGAGATTCAACATAAAACGAATGATTGCCCAACATATAGCTTAACTTTTACAATATTTAACCCAAATATTTGTAAGCGGAGTAATAAATAACGAACAAACAACTTCCACAAATTGTCGTGTAAATACCAGCTGTTTCCATTTGCTGTTTCTAACAAAAACACAAAATTGACTTACCAGTTGTATTATTACATTTTGTTATATCCCTTGGGTATATATCTACTTCAATTTTTCCTCGGTAAGCTCGTAAATGTAAGGGGAAGCTACTCCAAATATTTTAGGTCACCGAAATTTTGGATTTCATTTGCGTATCTCTTCATCTGTATTTCAAACCTAACCTATAACGTACACGTTACAACCTGCCCATGCATAACACCTGGCTGTAAAATCTGCTATTTCTTGCCGATTGTTAAATCGTCCTCGCTCAGTGTCGTATTTCCCATGCATGCATTTCCAGAGAATTAACAAATTAACGGCTTTTCCCTGATTTGATAGCATAAAGACCATTTCTTCAAAGTTTTGTTGTTCAAACCGGTTATCTCAAAGGCAATCATTTAGCATCTGTATAATGATTTCTTCCTTTCTTTCCGTAAAAATGTGCATTGTTGTCATGCAGACGATCCGAATTGTTAAGCAAATGGGGATAAGACGAAAAAAAGAAACGAAAGTAGAAAATATCTCGGGAACATATTGGACAACGTTTAAAATTCATGAAAATAGTGTATTTTTTTTCACAACGTACTCTGGAAGGGGAATTATGTAAAATGTACATGTAGTTTCGGCTGATTTGTGAAAATTTATTGGTGCAGGTATCAAAGAAACTTTTCAACCAAAGAGAAACGCCGATATCTCATCAATCTAATCAATATTAAATGATTACTCCTGCAAGCTATTTCTGTTATTTGCAGGTGTTACTAAAACAATATGTTTATATTTCTTTATTAACATAAAAAAGCAACAGTCAGAAGAAATTCAGAAATAATTCAATAAGACGTTATACTCATGTAATTTGCCATCCTTCTTACCTTTTTTACTCTATAATATATCAAATTTTTTTTTCTCTTTTATTAAGACCTGGTACATAAATAATTCAGTGTACAGAAAATCATAATACATACATTGTATAGAAATTTATAAATCAAAATCACAAATAATTGCCTACTTCTAGATACAGATTATCATTAATTACATGTGCTTTCTTTAGAATCACGTTTTGTAAACAAAGACAATTTTTTATCTTATTTCGAAAAACTTCTATATACATGTTTTCTTTTTGAAATCTACATTTCATTTTATATTTATAAATGGTAAAACAAATGAATGACAATAGATTATTCAATCTAATTGTTTTTAAATTAATTTCATTGTAAAAACCAAGTACCAGTATTTTCCATGTGATTTCAAAACCGAAAAACAAACCAATTTTTTTCCAAATATTTTCACAAAGTTTACACCGGTACAGGAGATGTTCAGTGTCTTCAACAACCATACAATATTTACAAAAAGGTTCTACATCTTTGTTCCATTTACTTACATTTAAATTATTGTTCAATATGCAATTCAATAATTTATAATTGAATTCAGCAACATTTTTTTCATACATATACTTAATTTTAGCTAGATATACATTTTTCCAGACATATTTGTAACTAAGATCAAAAGTCTTTTGCCACATATTTTCATAAACTGATCGTTGAAACTTTATGTTTACCAAAATTGAATAATAAAAATCACATTTAAGGTTTGCTACAGTTCTTACACTATTATCTCTAAATAAAAATGACACTTCGTTTTTAATATTAATAAATTTTGCATATGTACAATCAAAATTGTTTTTGTATTCTCTGAGTGCCTTCTTTATCATGATATATTCACAGAGTATATTGTTTTTCTTTTCCAGTATATTATAAAAGTGTTCAATACTAAGGAAGTTTCCATCATTATCAAAAAGATCTTTGATATATAGAATATCACTTTTTATCCAGTTTTCAAATCAAAGAGGTTTAGAATCATACTGAAACAGATTATTGTTCCAAATGAATTCCGATAAAAATTGGTCTCTCTTTAAAGCACAAATTTGTTTAACTTTTTTACATTTATTGAAAGCAGAAAGGACTTCACCATAAAAAAGTGGTATTCTTAGCATCTTAAAAAAAGCAGTATTTTCAAAGTTACATACACTTGTTTTAACAATATCATTAACTGACAGGTTTTTAAGATTAAGAATATTATTCAACATTTTATATATTATACTTCTTTTATCTAGTATTCTTTTTATCCAAGAAGCCTTCGCTGCAGTAAATTTACTCTCTACATCAACAATACCTATTCCACCTTGGTCAACTTTACCAATTAGCGTATTTCTCTTTATCCTATCTTTTTTCTTCCATAAGAAATTAAATACAAGTTTTGATACATTTTTAAAGAATTCATTTTTTGGATTTGACAAAATAAAAGCATTATATACCAATTTAGATAATGCTAGTGTATTTATTATAGTGCATTTTCCGAAGATCGTTAAGTTTCGCCTTCTCCAAACACTCAGTATTCTTTCAAGTTTCTCTAATTTATTTGTCCAATTCATATCATAACAAATATCCTTATCATGACCGAGGTATACACCTAATGATTTTACATGACTTTTAGCAATTCTAACACCACAAATATATTTTTCATTTAAATACATTTCAATAAATTTTCCTGTCAATAAACATTCTGTTTTGTCCATATTCAATTTCGGGCCTGCGACTTTGCTAAATTCACGTATTGTTTCTAAAGTTTTTTTCAATGAATAAGTGTCTTTCAATAAATTAGTGCAATCATCGGCATGCTGTACGATTTTTAAATTTCCATTATCACCTGGCGATAAACCGATGATTTCTTCATTATTTTTAAGCTGAACTGCTAGTATTTCTAGCACGAAAATAAATAAAAGTGCTGACACAGGACAGCCTTGTCTAATCCCTCTTTGCATTTCACATGATTTTGACATCCAGCCATTATTTTTAACTTTAAAAGTTGGTTTAGAATATAATGTTTTTATCATTTTGATAAAATTTTCACCAAAATTAAATTTTTCTAGAGTTTTGTACATGAAGTTATATTCAACAGAATCGAAAGCTTTTTCAAAATCGAGAAAGAGCAAAATACCATCAATATTATTATTGTTACAATATTCAAATATCTCTAATATTATTCTCGCGTTCTCCCCAATGTATCTACCTTTGATATAAGCACCTTGTTCACTACTAATTATTCTACTAGCAACTTTTTGCAAACGATTAGCTAGAACATGAGCAAAAATTTTGTAATCAACGTTTGTAAGACTAATTGGTCTATAGTTCTTAAGATTTTCTTTCTCTCCTTTTTTATATATCAGGGATATCACAGCATTTCTTTGCGAAAAAGGCAAGTACCATCATCAATACTTTTAAGTAAAGAGGAAAAGAATGTTTCCTTTATATCATGCCAAAAAACCTTATAGAATTCTGCTGTTAAGCCATCTTGACCAGGGGATTTGTTATTTTTCATTTTAAGAACAGCTTCTTCACATTCTAATTTTGTAGGCAACATGTCACATAACTCTTTCTCGGCCTTTGTAACCTTTTCGCAGTTAACATTTTTTAAATAGTTTTCTATTTCATTATCAGAAATCTTCTTACTAGTATATAATGAACTATAAAAAGTATAATATATCAAATATATTTTGTCATCTAGCTTTGATGAGTGGGACAACAAATTTTTTGGAATAAGCGATAAAGAGGCTGAGCTCGTTGATCCACAACAACGTTTTGTTCTGGAAACAGTGCACATGGCCCTAGAAGATGGTGGGATAATAAGTGAAAAATTAAATGGCTCAGAAACTGGTGTTTACATCGGTAAGATTTAATTGCTACATTTGTCGTTCTTTCTGCTGAATGAATACAGTACCGACCAGAAACAATCTAACAGAGCGATTCCAAAGCGCATCCCGGGTTCGCTCTCTGGGTTCGCTAGGGGTCCGCTACGGGTCCGCTTTCAGAAATTTGGGGGGCGCTCTGGGTTCGCCTTTGGTGCGCTTCGGGTTCTCTGCGTTCACTCAGGGTCAGCTCTGGGTCCCCTAGAGCGAACCCGGCATTCGCTTCTGGGTTTGCTTTACGCACTCATGCATTTCTCCGAGACAGTGTTCCACAGACCAGGAACAGCCGGTCAAAGGTCAGAATTAACAAAACACGTAACAACAACAAGTTTAAAGAAATCAATAAATATTACGGATGTTTTCTATAGGATACAATACCTTAATGAATATTAGAGAGAATTTAGTTGCAAGTACATAAATTATGTAATAAGTAGGACTTCTGTCCCTTTTTTGAAGAAACAACTCTAGATGATAAAAAATGTCAACCTTTTTTTAAATATATATTAAAATGGATTTTGACTGAGATGTATGAATTTCCTTATTACTTTTTGGTTCTTCTAAGTACATTTCCAGTCATGACTGAATGAAAATGAAAATTTTAAATTGATAATGTAAGAAATATCTCTAAGCAACTCATATTTAAAACATTTGCGGTTTTGATCATTCATAATTGCAGTGGAAAAGATATGACTTAAAACATTTTTTTCGAAAATTAAATGCAGAGAATTTCAATATGAATTTGAAAATTAAAAACAAATCCTTAATGCACATTTTCATCCAAAATATTTATCCCTGAAAGTTTCATGTCTATATCTTCAACTGTTTCTGAGAATGTACCTGGGCAAAAATTCCTTCTCAAATAAAAACAAGAGGCCCAAGGGCCTTAACCGTCACCTGAGTATAATACAACACTGTAAAGGACCCATTAATTAAAGTTAACAAAATTAACTGATAATTGAAGTATTTTGCCCTAGAATTTTAAAAAAAATCTGGTAAAATTACCTTTACTTATGTTAACAAATGAGACCCGAGTGATTTCCTTGGGATCGTACTTGGTATTCCTAAGTCTTACATGGATGATAATGAATGCAAAATATACAAATACAATGGACACCTGCCTAGTGTGTAAGGTATTCAATATATACAGATATTGTTTTTGTCACTTGCCTAGTGCTACAATTAAGTACACAGAGAGAAGTCTCTAATGCCTGTATATTTACTCAAGGTGATGCCTCTTGACTACACAAACAACTTAGCTGCTTGGTAACACATGGTATCAACACTTGCCTCTTGGCTATACAATAAACTTGGTAATACTTGCTACCAGCACTCGCAACTTCAAGCAGACTCTAGCAATCTAAACCCCAATCTCCATGAATTTACCTGACCATAACTCTTTCTATCATCGAACAGAACACCCCGGCGTACACATACTAAGTACAACTAGCCCTTTGCTACATAAATAATCTTTATGACAATCTTTTATATTGCTTGCTCGTTTAAACCAAATAGTCAGCTTTATTTTGTTTCTATATATATAAAATTCTTTTTTGTATTCTAATTCAATTAAAAAACCTGTTAATTAAATTAAACAGAAGAACTTCTTGATTAAGCACAAGTTAGCAAAGGAAAGTAACTCTCAATTGCTTCACTTATTACAATATGTAACTGCCTCCTAGATACCCAGGAGCAGAGAAAAGGCACGTTTTCGCAAACATTTACATTTATAATATTGCATTTAGTCTGTTTGTTTAATACTCAGGGGCAGAGGAGAAGATTTTCAAAGTATTAAATGTATTTCTGCCGCTACTAAATAGAGCCTTGTCCAAATACCAGAACCCTTGACTCAGGGGCCATGAAACTACCGAATTTGGAAGAGGCAACCTTGCTCATCATAACTATGCATTTAGTTTGTTTGCTTAATACCCCAGAACAAAAGAACATTAATTTATTTTCAGTATGTATTAAATACCCCCCCTCCTCTAGGGATCCCCTGACCTACGGGCCACATCATTCACAATTCTGGAAGAGGCACCTTTCCTCATCATAATTATGCATTTAGTTTGTTTCCTTAACACCCAAGAGCAGAGAAGACGATTTTCAAAGAATTCATGCATTTTCACTAAATAACCATTATAGCCCCGCCCTTACACCAGAACCCCTGACCCAGGGGCCATGAAATTCACAATTTTGAGAGAGGCATCTGTCCCCATCATAACTATACATTTAGTTTTTTCTTTATACCCAGGAGCAGAGGGGAAAATTTTTAAGAAATTAATGCATTTTCACTCTATAATCATTAGAATCCGCCCTACTCTCCAAAATCGCCGACCCAGGGACTATGAAATTCACAATTTTTAAAGAGGCACTCTTCTTCATCAAAAGTATGAATTTAATTTGTTTCCTTAATACCCAGGAGCAGAGGAGAAGATTTTTAAAATAATTAATGCAATTTCACTATATTTTTCAGTCGCCAGCGTGGCCCAGTGGTTAGAGCGTCTGCTCTAGAGTCGTGAAGTAAGGAGTTGATCCTTACGTCGCGGGTTCGAATCCCACTGTGGGACGTGGAGACTGGTCCTTCGGATGAGACCGTATAAACCGAGGTCCCGTGTCGCAGTAGGTGCTGGCACGAAAAAGATCCCTCACTGCTCAATGGCCGTTAGTGCCGAGTATAGGACAAAATTTGCAGCTCTCCATCGGCAAGAGCTGGCGTCTCCATATGAGTGAAAAATTCTCGAGAGGGACGTTAAACAACATACAAACAAACAAACTATATTTTCAACAGAGCCCCGCCCTAGCCCAGAACCACTGACCCAGGGGCCATGAATTTCACAATTTTGGTAGAGGACTCAATGCTTATTACAATCATGCCAGCAGTTTGCATGCCTGATGTCCAGAAGTAAAGATGAAGATTTATAAAGATTGCATTAATTTTTATGGTTTAAGTCCCACCCCTCAGGCCCCACGGGGCACGGGCCATGAATTTCACAATTTATGTTTCCCTTCACCCATAGATGCTATATACAAAATTGGTGAAATTGGTTCAGTGGTCCCAGAGCAGAAGATGAAAAATGAACAAATGTTAACACACGGCGCACGACGGACGACGCACGACGGCGGACGAAAAGAAATAGCAATAGTCCGTTAATTGAGACTGGAGGTGACGTCACAAAATTCTTTAGTTAATGACAAATGTGAAGATGACGAACAATGATAGATCTCATAAATTCTGAAAACAAAACAAATCTTTGAAGGGGCAGGGTAAAAACATTTTAATATAATTTCCTGTTCATCGTTGAAAGCTTATAGCTATTTTTGAGGCTTTTTTCTTCGGGTGGGGGATTGCAAACATTTGGTAAAAAATATTAAGATATGGTAAATGACGAGATATTTCAAAAGAATGAACCATGATTCTATACACAATTACATGCTAAAACTAGCTAATTAAAAAAAGTAATTGACAAACTAAAAGAACTGAAGTGCTGTGCTTTTTATATGTAGTATACATTATCCATTCTCTATTTTAAAAATAAAATGAAATGTAATGTAAATTGGGCATAACAAGACACAAAAACAAGACAAAATCACAATGTGAAAAATTAAAATTCGGACAGAAAGTTCGATTGAAATTTTTTCTTTAGGGGGAGGGGTGGGGTGGAGTAGAGAGGATTATGTCCGAAAAGTCTTTGTGTGAAATGTTTGAAACATCACTTACTTATAAATTTCGAGTAATAAAAAGAATACCATAATTTGCTAATTTTCATGCAAAAGCACATACAAAATCAGTATAAAAATAAAAGTTTTGACTTTCAATTTGCGAAAAATGCATTTAGAAAGAGCGTAATTACTTTTAAAAATCAATCTAAATATTTTTATAATTAGACTAATGTCTTTAAAATGAAAGCACATACACTGGAATTCATATACCTGCTTGGCAGGAAAAAATATCATAAGCCAAAATGTAAGTTTCTTTCCATTTTCCTTGCAGGAAATTTTACAATTTTGTTATGCACAACAGAAAATGTTGAAAAAAATCTTTTTGTTAAACTTATATATCTAATATTTTTTGAAAGAATTTTTTTGAAGAAAAAAAACTCTTACTATTTCGATATAACAAAATACCTTTATGGTCAAATAAAAGAGATATATTTAGTTTAAATTTAATTTGACCTTTCTGAACTAAGGCAAAAGTAACTAGGGCTAATTGTAACGGGAACCGTTACAGATGTTCCCCAAACGCTCCCCAACTCCCTTTTGGTGCCTTATTCCTAGTAAGTTTCATTAAATAAGGCAAACTCCATGTATTTTTGACTTGAAGAACATTTTCCCCGAAGTTTACCAAGTATATTGCAAATTTTAACATTGCACGCGCGCGCATGTGAACATGTGCAGAATGACCATATCATCCTTTGTACGCTATTGATACATCTTAATATTCTGTGTATTAATGTCTTTCATTAAAGAGATATCAAAGTTACCGCTATATCAAGTATATTTGTCATTTTAGCATTCCACGCGCGCAAACGTGCAAGCATACGCATGATGACTATATCATCTTGCTTACACTATAAATGTATTTGAATATACCGAGTATTAAAGCATTTAATCAAAAAGTAAAAAAAAGTACGGCTAAATCAAGCATATTGGTCATTTAAGCATTTGCACGCGCGCACACGTGATTCTGCGCATGTGAGTTAAGGCTAGGTATAGGCGTTTCTATGCAAATGAGATTATAAAAACGCATAAGAGGTATATTTATTATTCAGAAGAAGTTTTGATTAATTTTCTTATGCATGCTTAGTACCCCTGATATGTCATAGCCAATACACAATATGACGTTATATTATGACGTCACTAATCTTACCTACTGGAGGTAATAAAACACATCAACAAAACAGCTTTGGCGCAGGGGATTACCCTATTTATTTTTACATAAAAATTGTGTAATGCTAAGAAGAATATTCTATAGATTAATAAAAC